GCGCAGAAACACATACACAAATATGCATAGGCAGTTAACTGCACCGGATTTATTTCCCAGCCTATCCTCCATGTGCTATGTCCATAAAACGAGCAGAGCGAAGCTTCTCCTGCAAAGTCAGGCGCGCTTGATGGCACCTACGCTTACGCTGTTCAAGAAGGAACCGATGCTGACTGCGAAGCCGCAGTGGACCACTGGAAGGCTGCCCTGTCCAACTTCAAGGGCCTACCTCCGCAATACACAGGAGACACAGAGCTGTACAAAGACCCCCAAAATGTTTCTTTCATTTCCCTTTTCAACCCTAAGGAAAGCCCGAAAGTGGACTGCGCATACTTCACATGCCCAGCAAAGGAGAGCAAACCCGAGCGGAAAGACACCGGTGTTGTTGGGGACCCAGAGAACGACGGTGTGGAAAAGCCCCCACTAGACGACGGCAATGGGGATGAGGAAGAGCCAGGTGCGGGAGAAGGGGATGAAACCACAACAGACAAAGAGGTGAAGGCGCTTCTTTGCATCACCACCCCCAATGCCCTGACACAAGGCGCCGCCCCATACACGTGAGTTGAATTTATATGCGAACTTCACCTTTTTTACGGAATCACGCAAAGTGAGAGATGAAATGCATTTTCAAAGGGCCTTTGCTCCTAATAGATGCTGGCTGTCGGGAGTTGCGTGTGTGTCTCAGGCAAGCCCAGTGGGATCAGATCACTGCTGGACTCAACAAAAACGCTGCACATGCATTGCCAATGTCCCTTGGCTTTGCTGTTGCCGCAGTTGGCGTTCTCCTCCTGTAAGCACTTCGTGGATCTCATTCCACTGTGCACACCGCCTATGGTTCGCCTCATGAAGAACCAGCTCAGTGCAGGCAACCGTTAGGCATGGATTCGCATAAGCGCCTAAAGCTTCGAAGCTAAAGGCATTAGGTCAATTTAGGCCAAATGCCCTTCTGAGACGTGTCTGTACAGGCGTGCAGGGAACCTGGTGTTCCTTAGAGCACAGCCGATCAGGCTTTTTATGTGGACGCAAAGATATGAATATATGCAATATTGACGTAGCCTATGGAATACATAACGTTCAGCTACGCTACATCCACATTCTAATTTTGCTAATTTGCCCCTACGATCGATCGAGCGCAAAGTGATGTGCGGCAGCGCACCCTGGCACAGCTGGTGCTGCAAGGCAACCCCACATACAAGCGCAATCGAGCCCCCTTTGCTGCATACACTAACACTGTAGAAAATTGTTGAGGACTTACTTGGTCCTCAGTAAGCAGCCTGCACGCATGTAGAAACACAACGCGACACAGTGCATGCTAAGCATTCCTGCAAGTCAGCTAGACAGAAACAGGAAAAGATCCGGTTCAGCGTGAGGTTTTTGAGGTGAAGTGGAAAAGTCCTGCGTGCAGAACATGCTTGCGCTTGACGGACAGTAGGGATCCAAGGGAGGAAGCAGCAAGCGGATTGTCGGTAAAGACGCAGCCAGCAAATCCTACGTCCTTGTCATCTAATAAGCCGAAAACACCACAGAAACAC